ATCACCTTCTGAACCATCTGTATATCCAACCAGTAGAGGTCTGTATAGAGCAGCCAATTGTAACACTGCCCCCTGCTGGTTGGTGGATCAACTGTCAGTGAGGCTCTGAGTTTTACTGCAACAAAAACACAAATTGATCAATTCAAAATGTAAAAGTTATAATTGTTTGTTAGGGTGTGCTTCTGTAAAATATAAGTAAAAAGTCATAAACAGGGAAAGAAAATGAGTAAATATTGAAAATATTGTTTAAAGACATTAATTTTAGTTAAGGTGACCAGATTTCTGAAATGCAATCTGGAGACATTTCCAGCTCATAGATTTAAATAGATACATATCATTAAATTTTAAAAAAGGAGACGAAGACAGTGGTGCTTTCATCCATTTTTTAAATATCTATTTATATTCAAACAACAACAATCAATTTTAAAATCCAGAAAGGTGCCTATTTCCTAACATTAATAAAATGAATCAATCAAATTCATTCTTCTCCATCTTCTTTTCTTTCTAGCTGACTTCTGCCTGCTCTCTGTTTAAAGCCTCTAGGTAGATTTTTCTTCCTTGTCTTTAGCTGATTTTTCCATCATTGTCCCTATTTTCCTCCGCTCTCATTCAATACTCTTTCTGTGGTTTATGTTACATTTCCAGGCCTCATCTTTAGAAAAACAAAACACATCAAAGCACTTTTCATTAATCTGGTCATAAACCCAACATTTGTGACAATGATCACCCAAATTCAAATCAAATGAACTGATTAACCCACTCACCATAACACAGGGCAGCTCCCCATCAGCTGCAACGTTTGTGATAACGAACTTCCTCGTCTATTTCAAAAGTGGGGCGCTCTGCTCCTCATCTATATGTTAACAGCTCACGCGCTCTTCCTACTATAATAACAGTCTACATTCATAAAAAGGTAAAATCAGGACATTTCTGGGAAAAGCTTTAGCTGGGGACAGGTGGTCCAAACGGCGACTGTCCACTGATATAGGGGAGGTCTGGTCATCGTAATTTAATTTTTTACATTGGAGGCAATCATGCATTGTGTTTAAAGTGAGCTTATACATACACACATATATATATATATATATATATA